AAGAAGTACAACTGTTTATGTATCTGCAAAATAGCAGACCTATCCGGTAAGTTGTTCTAAGTTACCCATCTTTTGAGTAGAAAGTAGTTGGACTATGGGCTTGGAACCTGCATCACCCAGGTCCAGCACAATACCCTGATAAAGGTATATAGCTTGATAAAGCTATATAGCTTTATCAAGGTATTACAAATACCTTGATCAAGGTATTTTGTAATATGTTTTACGGTGTGACCGTTGGGGCGAGCGCAGTTTATTTACTAGCAGAAACCTACACGTGTACTGTCTATCATTCAAGAAAAAGAAAGCAAAAAGAATAAAACAAAACAATAAAAAGAAATCATTTCCCAAGCATCGGGATCGAGATTCCAAACTTCTCGGAAGTTTCCGACAAAATCGGAAATACCCGAACCGTTGAAGTAACGAAAGTATGACGTCAGATAAAAAGTTTTGTTGAGGACGCAAACGCTAGTTTTATGGAAAAGAAGTTGCATTAAATCGTTCTTTTCAAGTAAGTCGTTGCTATGTTTTAGCCAGCATGTTGCTATGCACCGCAACATGTTTTCCGAGTTTCACGGAAGCAACCGACGTAACTTCGTCAAAATTCGTAAGTTTCCGGTGACGTCATTTGTATCATTTCCGAAGGGCAAGGTGAAGGCCGGTGTTGTGACATGGGGGTATTTTTTTGAATAAGGTAAGGCAAAATCATTTCGTTAAGATTTCGGTAACAAACAATGTTCTTTTAAATTTTTTTTACTATTTTTGATTTATTCGCGCAAAGGACATTGGGTAGTGCAGGAATTCTGGGAATGTTGCACAGAGAAATTTGGCTGACGTATGTACAGATTTCAATCCGAATTTCCTCTGTTCATACACGTTAGTCTATTGAGCTCGCTTCGCGAGCGTCGCTTCGCGACGCTCGCTGCGCTCGCTATAATGAAAATTCAAAAAAAATTCTTATAAAATTAAAAACTGTAAGTCGAGTTCTGAGTTTTTGTCAGTAAATTTAAGTACTCAAACACAAAGAAATCAGTACAAAAGTATGTCGCGCGAGGAGAAATTCTTTTATTCTGTCTTTTTTATACCAGAGTGCTTTTCAAGCATGAGTGGACACACTGACAAAAACTCAGATCTCAACTTTCAGTATTTAATTTTTGGAAGTGGAGACCTATCGGCACGACCGTCGTGCCGATAGACACTTCCAAAAATTAAATATTGAAAGTATAAATTTTGTTATCCGCACGACGATCGTGCTAATAACATTTTTTATCCACACGACACAAGAGAGATAACTGTAACATTAATTATATCAACGCTGAATGCTGTTGGTGGGGGAAATTATATATGTATGTGACGACGTATACTTTTTTTTAAAATGATTTTGACATTTTACCTGCCAGGAAAGCATCAAAAATGGCGCCATTACAAAAACTGAGAAATTACCGCCTCCAATAGGAAGCGGCATTCTCAAGTTGATTTTAGATACAGTGTACTTGCAAACCAAATTAAATTTCAAAGTAAAAGTTTTCAATAGTAGAATACCCGAAGAACTTACCAATATATTTTTTATGGTTCATTTATAAAATAAACAATCTGTTGAAAAGGATTTATCACACTGTGGAGATTTGTCTGTGCATTTTAAAATCCTGCATGTCCTGTTTAAATGTGGAGTGATATTTTCTCTTCATGGGTATTGGTGAGTACTAGAGGCATTGTGCTTTTGATAAATTCTGATTTTGGCATTTAGTTCGGTTTGCAAATATTGAAAATCAGCTCCAATTGAAGACGACGAAATTTCCAGTGTTTGTAATGGCTCCGGTTCTGATGTTTTCCTGGCACGTAAAATATCAAAAACGTTAAAAAGCCTGGAAAATGTCAGATTTTTCGGACTACTCAGTTGGTAGAGCACCTAACCGGAGTATCAGGGGACCCAGATTTGAATTCCGGTCTGGTCTGCTGCATTTTTCTCCTCTCCCGTTACATTTGGTGCCATGCCCTGGAACTGACAGGTGAGAGACCTGCCAGGGTTGAGCCTGGGTTGGGGTCTTTGAGGACACAAGACCTTTAAGGAGGGAGGAATGTAGTGGTCAGCCTGGTTTAATCACCGGTGGCCGGAGAGCTCAGTTGGTAGAGCACCTGATGGAGTTTCATGGGGCCCGGGTTTGAATCCTGGTCTGGTCCACTGTATTTTTTTCTCCTCTCCCGTTACAGAACGTTCTATTTTTAAAAATGATAATGCCCAGTTTAAAGATAGAATTTTTTCTTTGTATTGACAATGTAACACATTAAAGAGATATAAGGCCATAATAAATGAATTGCTAGATTCTCATCCGAATTTTTAGCTCTACTGGTCAGAGACCAGAAGAGCTTATGCAATAGTAATGCGTCCGGCGTCCGTCCGTCTAGCTGTCTAGCTGGCCGTCTGTCTGTAAACAATTTTTCAAAATGCTACTCCTCCTACAGTTTTGGTCTAATTTCAATATAACTTGGCACACAAGTAGACTACACTAAGATACATAATTCTGTGTATCGGTTTTTGATTTCGATGAGCGGGTTGCCGTGGTTACTAAAAATAAAAATTTCTGTGAAATTCTTTCAAAATGCTACTCCTCCTACAGTTTTGGTCTGATTTCAGTATAACTTGGCAAACAAGTAGACTACACTAAAATACATAATTCTGTATATCGGTTTTTGATTTCGATAAACAGTGTTGTCGTGGTTACTAAAAATAGAAATTTCTGTGAAATTCTTTCAAAATGCTACTCCTCCTACAGTTTTGGTCTGATTTCAGTATAACTTGGCACACAAGTAGACTACACTAAAATACATAATTCTGTATATCGGTTTTTGATTTCGATGAACGGTGTTGCCGTGGTTACTAAAAATAGAAATTTCTGTGAAATTCTTTCAAAATGCTACTCCTCCTACAGTTTTGGTCTGTTTTCAGTATAACTTGGCACACAAGTAGACTACACTAAGATACTTAATTCTGTGTATCGGTTTTTGATTTCGATGAACGGTGTTGCCGTGGTTACTAAAAATAGAAATTTCTGTGAAATTCTTTCAAAATGCTACTCCTCCTACAGTTTTGGTCTGTTTTCAGTATAACTTGGCACACAAGTAGACTACACTAAGATACATAATTCTGTATATCGAATTTTAATTTTGATGAACGGGTTGCCGAGGTTACTAAAAATAGAAATGTCTGTAAAATTCTTTCAAAATGCTACTCCTCCTACAGTTTTGGTCCGATTTCAATATAACTAAGCACACAAGTAGACTAGACTAAGAACATAAAGAGACTTTATCAACGATCATTTTTCTATTTATTGCTGTTGTAAAATTTCAAATCCCAGCTGCTTAAGTACTTTTCTTTTCCTTTGCTATAAGTTCAAACCAGTAGAGCTTCAGTCTCAACAGAGACTTCTGGTTTTAAAAATCAAGGTGGGCGGCTTTTATTTTATATTTTTTATTTTCTCAATTTTGCAGATTTTTTATTGACCTGGTCAATCGGTGAAATTTTATCTACAAAACCTGAATAAAAGTCATAGTAAACGTTCAATTATCTCTTACTTCACATCATCACCAATCTTTTTCAACCAAAGAACCTTGTTTAAAATATATACGCATGTATTACAGCAATTACCATCTTTTCAGTTGTCAAAATCAGGTCGACTTTTCGATTTAAAACGCAAGTAGAATGGTAGATGAATACCGATCCCAATCAGAATAATTAAGACGAAGAAAAAACATAAATAAAATAAATCGAGGCAGGGGTATAAAATCGGGGCGGGCGGGGATGAGAATTTAGGAATATTTTTATTATGGCCTAACTTAAATAACTCCAACTAAGTGCATTTACAAGGAATAATCCAGTGAGAGAGTTCCGAATGTAAACATGGCAGGTAAATTTGTAGTTAGAATAATCTAACTGTGTCTCGGTACAGGCCCTCACCACAGTTAGAATACCACCCATATACTCGTAATGTAGCAAAAAATTGCAGAATCGCACCGAAACGATTTTGAAGAATATAAAATGATTTGCACTGGGAATAACTACCAAAATAATCAAAACAAACCTTCTTGAGATTGCTTATGCCTTTCATCCCAAAAAATAATCCATATAAATACGAAAATCCAATTCATTTTCTCAACGTTTTTCTCTCGATTCAAATTACCTCCATGTTTACATTCGGAACTCTCTGGATTGTTCTTAGTAAATGCACTATGCGAGTTATCGCCCGTGTTTCTTTTGCTACATTATGAATACACGGAACGAATTCTATCGTTAAACCGGGTCCGTAGGACAATATCATTTTAACGATAGAACATTCTATCTAGTAAATTTGAAGTGAAAAAAATGTTGAGAAAAGGACTGAGTTGAATTTTCATCTTTATATGGATTATTTTTCTGGATAAAAGGCATATACAATCTCGAAAATGTTTCTTTTGATTAATTTGGTTGTAATTTTCAGCCTAACCCCTTTTGTATTCTTCAAATTTATTTCGGAGTAAATCTGGTCCTATTGCTACATTGCAAATATATGGGACATATTCAAACTGTGGTTGGGGCTTGTTCCGAGACAAAGATACTGTATACAGGGTTATTTTTGCCCTGTGTTATTTTCACCTTTCACATCTGAAAACAAGTTTGCCCTGTTTTAAATTCGCCCCAAAAGATTTTTGTTTAAGATATTATACAGTGTACTTTGAATTTGCCCCGTTTTAAATTTGCCCAAGCCAGACTAGAGCGAAAGGGGCTAAATAAAACAGGGCGAAAATTTCTCTGTATACAGTAATTCTTACTAGACTTTCACCTGCAAGTCCAGGGGTAGAAAAGGAAACACTATTATGTATGATGTATCTCTTACTCTCTGTATTTTTTCAGCTTCAACTTTTCTTATATTTTTTTAGGTCTGTAGTGATTCTTTCCTGTTGTCATAGTGATACTTCATGAATCAGTATCAAAACATGTCAAAAGTCTCCAAAAACAATAAAATGTCACAATGACGGAAGAAGTTTTTCTACAAAGTACCAGCTAAGTCAGCACTGGGAATGTCCATCATTCTGCAGAAAGACTCATCCCCCTGGTATGTTTATCTATTTGTATGTTTTATGTACATACTACATGTATTGATTTATAAACATTTTATTAAAAATATCATTTCTTAAAGCCATATATGGCGTATGTACAATGAAAATTATTAGACTAAAATTATAAGAACGTATTATTTGTATCATTACTTTATATAAAGATAGAACTTTTCCGTAAATTACAAAAGCTAAGTCAATTGCGTTATAAAGATATCACAATTTAATTTGGATTCTCGGAATTTTCTCCGACTCGGAAGAAAATACAAAAGATTTAAATAACACATTACAGAGAAGATAAAATCGCATTATTAGATGAAACGAGGTGTTCTCCGTGTTCAGAATTGTATGAAAAGCTTTTATTTAAATGTATTAACTATATTTCTTTACTTAATTTTGTATTTTTCAAAAATATATTTTTTTGATCAGTTACGCCATATATGGCTTTAAATTTTTTAATGCACATGGATCGAGAGATCGAGGCCAGATTGTTCTGTTTGTCTGCCTGTTTGCAACTTTAACCATCGACCTAACTTTTTAACCATGAAAGATATAGACTTCGTATTTAGTAGGCACACTCTACTAGTACAGTAATGTTCTTTCAAATGACACCAAGGTCAATGACCTTGTGACCTTGACCATGGCTTATTATGCAAAAAATAGCTTTTTCGAATTTTAGTCATAACTTTTGAACCATAGAGACTTCATATTTAGAATGACACCAAGTTCAATGACTTTGTGACCTTGACTGTGACCTATCTGCTAAAAATAGCTTATTTGAACCTTCGCCAAAACTTTTGAATCATAAGAGATAGAGACTTCATAGTTGATATGCATACATGTACTCCACTAATTAAGTTCTTTCAAATGACATCAAGGTCAATGACCTTGTGACCTTGACTGTGTGACCTACATGCTAAAAATAGCTTTTTTAGCTCACCTGAGCCGAAGGTTCAAGTGAGCTTTTCTGATCACATATTGTCCGTCGTCCGTCCGTCCGTCTGTCTGTCTGTCCGTCTGTAAACTTTTCACATTTTCGACTTCTTCTCAAGAACCACTGGGCCAATTTTGACCAAACTTGGTACAAAGCATCCTTGGGTGAAGGGGAATTTAAATTGTTAAAATGAAGGGACATATGCCCTCGCAAGGGGAGATATTCAAGAAAAGACAAAAATAGGGTTGGGTCATTAAAAAATCTTCTTCTCAAGAACCACTGGGCCAGTAAAGCTGAAATTTATGTGGAAGCATCCTGGAGTAGTGTAGATTTTAAATTGTTCAAATCATGACCCCCGGGGGAAGGGCGGGGCAACAATGGGGTATCAAAGTTTTATATAGAAATATATAGGAAAAATCTTTGAAAATCTTCTTCTCAAGAACCACTGGGCCAGAAAAGCTGAAACTTATGTGGAAGCATCCTGGTATAGTGTAGGTTCTAAATTGTTCAAATAATGACCCCCGGGGGAAGGGCGGGGCCACAATGGGGAATCAAAGTTTTACATAGAAATATATAGGAAAAAATCTTTGAAAATCTTCTTCTCAAGAACCACTGGACCAGAAAAGCTGAAACTTATGTGGAAGCATCCTGGTATAATGTAGATTCTAAATTGTTCAAATAATGACCCCTGGGGGAAGGGCGGGGCCGAATCAAAGTTTTACATAGAAATATATAGGAAAAATCTTTGAAAATCTTCTTCTCAAGAACCACTGGGCCAGAAAAGCTGAAACTTATGTGAAAGCATCCTGGTATAGTGTAAATTCTAAATTCTTCAATTCATGACCCCAGGGGGAAGGGTGGGGCCACAATGGGGTATCAAAGTTTAAAATAGAAAGATATAGGAAAAATCTTTTAAAAATCTTCTTCTCAAGAACCACTGGGCTAGAAAAGCTGAAACTTATGTGGAAGCATCCTGGTATAATGTAGATGTAATATATAGGAAAAATCTTTGAAAATCTTATTCTCGGGAACCACTCGGCCAAAAAAGCTGAAACATATGTGCCCATGGAAGGATCATGGGGTAGTGTAGATTTCAAAATGTCTAAATTATGATCAGTGGGGTAGGGTGGGGATGCATTATGTATAACAAGGGGGAAATCTGGTAAAGAACAGAATGGTCAAAGCTTCTCAGGTGAGCGATGTGGCCCATGGGCCTCTTGTTGAACTTTGTTGCCACCTTGCACCAGGTGCATAGTGTTTCACAAACGCATCTTGTTACATCATTCAACTGTCTTTGTATATTCATCATGCTCATACGTCATGGTAGCTCATTCAGTAGAGTGCTTGCTTTGTGATTGGAAAGTCATAATTTTAAATCCTGGTTGAGACTTGCTCTATATAAATGATAAAAATAGGTAACAAATGTTTCTTCACCAAGTGCTTGGCACTTTGATGTGAACGTTGCAGGTCTTTTGGATGAGGTTTGAAAATTAAGGCCCAGTGTTATGACCTTGAGTCTGAGCATAAAATTTTAAAACAAGTCATTTTGATATAAATGGAAATCGTGCTAATTATATTTCATTATGAGCCTTGCAGGGTAAATTATATCATGCACTTGCACATGTTGATATGTTTAAAACATAAATTAAATTTGCAGAAATTCTTTCAGTTGAAGAAAATGGAGGAGACAGTCATTCCAGGATGGATAACGAATGTCAGAACGCAGTGATAGACAAGAAAACTCCCTGAAGCACAATTAGACAGCATGACTTCTTATTCTACTTGCAACACAATGAACAATCTTGTTTGTATTGAAGGTCAGGATCAGAAATGGAAAATTCCCAGTTCAGTAGTAAATGTATCTGGAAAAACAGATAGAAAACCTCTTTCTGTAGATATTAAAGCTGATTTAGATGAAAGTGAAATAAAAGAACATGAAAAATTGAAGGAAGAATCTGATCTTATAAGATATTGCAATATGGAAGAAAAAGGGAACGAAGTTATAGACATTGATGATGAAGACATTGATGATGATGATAATTATATTATTGTCAGTTTTGACTCTAGTGGTGAGGAAGATGGGGAGAGTAATGTGAAAGAAGAAGATACTTCTTCAAAAGGACCTGAGAGTCAACCAAAACCAGGCCTACCTTTGATAAATAGCAATGAAATGACTAATGAGTTCAATGAATGGGAGTTAACTTCTTTTTCTAAAGTTTCCTCCTTATATGATGCTATTGAACCTGTAGAAAATATAATGAAAATATCAGCTAAGTATGAATGCGATGAAACAGAAGAAGCTAAAAAGTCTACTTTAAATGAAGCTGAAGAAATTTCAGGAGAAAGAAAAAGTGATGAAGATTTGAAAAATATGCAGCTTTCATCAGAAATGAAAAGAAAAGAAAGAGTTTGCTTGGATGATGCTCAGGCAGTATATGATGATCATCAGCCTCTTGTTGCAAAACATGCCCACAGCACATCATCACCAAAAATAGATGAATTATTGAAAAGAGGAAATGAAACTACCATCCAGACATTAATCAATCAGTTAGGTTTAAAAGCTGAAATGAAGACAATTACAAACGAAGATGGCAGTGAGAAGCTAGAAGTCCATTTTGTTATGGATGAGAATATCAATCTCAAGGAACTTGCTATCCCTCTGGCTCCTACTTCTGCATCTTCAACAAAAATCTCCAGTAATGAAGTTTCAAGTACAATTTGTGATGCTGTGGAATATTTGACAAAGAAAGAGATATCAGCTCAAACAGACATAGCTCAGGAAATTCAACAAACAAAGAAGAGTGAGAATAGTTCATCTCGGAGTACAGAGGTAGTTACAGAACAAAATGTCAGAACTATTGAAAAACCAGCATGCTCTGAAGTTGATACTCTCTCATTTTCAACATTTGTAGAAAATATAAGAAATCTAGACCAAGAGGAGGAACACAGCAAAAGGGAAAAATGTGATGAAGTTACAGGTGCTGCCTCTTCAGATGTGATTTGTTTATCATCAGATGAAGAGGATGAACCTGCAATCCATTCAGCTACTAGGTATAAATAATGAATTTTAATTCACCATAATCTGTATCAGTTGATAGGAAGTTATTTTCCATAGGATATATGTCATAGGATGTAGGTAATATGCATGCCTAGTCAATTCTTATAAGTTGTTCTACATGTACAGATGTATGTTGCTATCTAGTATTCTATCAGCAGAGATGTTTAAATATCATGTTTATGGCATGTCATGGCCCATACTGTATAGTGACGTAAAACTCATTTTGAATTTCTAAGAAATGATTGTCGTATACCCACAGTTGATCTCATCTGTAACTTATCACCTGTGGGTATTTGATGATGCAAAGAAAACTCAATACCTTTGTCTTCTAGCTCAGCTTTATTTAGTTAACATTATATATATGTCTGAAAAATTATGTAAAATTGGCCAAAATTATTTTATGATGAAAACTTGATGAAATTTGATGTTCTTTTCAGGATCATTCCTCAAGAAATCATTGAAATACCAGATGAAGTATCAACAGAAATTAACCAACCACCAAATGAAGTAAAGCTGAGAGCACTTGGAAAAAAGTCTGTCAGAGATCAGGGATCGCAGGAAACAACCAATCTAATCGACCAAACAGATGTTAATTCCAAAAATTCTCCATTACAACAAGTTTCTTTAAATTTGAAAAGACGCAGTTTGCTAAAAAGTAAGAAATCACATGTCACTGTTCCAGTATCAACATTGAAGAAAGTAAACGAGTTCGTAGTAAGAGAACAAAATAAAATGTCAAATTCAAATATATATAATATCAAATATATATATTCAAATATATATAATTCAAAAATAGGAGAAATACGTCCTCTCTCAGACAGTCATGCAGCAACAGTGTCAGCTATTGTAGGGAGTCGGCCATCTTCACCAACACTCCAGTCTCACATGTCAAGTCCACTGAATGCCATTAATAGGGATCCAAAGGATATCACATATACTTGTTACATATGTAGTAAAAAATTTTTAACACCAGAGCTTATTCAGCAGCATCTTAGGAAATTCCACTCATATTATCCCAGGAATACCTCCTCCGTTTTATCATCAGGTTTCTTCTGCTGCCATTGTAATGAAGTATGTGTGTCTTTACATGGGCTGTCAATTCATGAGAAAACTGTTCATGGTTTCAAATTCTCATGCCCCCTATGTGGAATACTACAGAAAAATGATGAACTTCTCATGAATCACATATCTGACCATCTCTCACCATGGGTTCTGTGTTGTTTTCTGTGTAAACAAGAATTCCAGCAGCATTCAGTATTTATGGAACATGTTGCTCTCCACCATGAGAATAAAAAGCTGAATTTAGGAAAGCTGTTAAAATGCTGTATTTGTAACAAGATTTTTGCCCATTTAGAGACATTTTGTGGTCATCTTGATCGTGATCATAAAAGACTTTTCAAATATTCTTGTCGAGTATGCTGTCAACGATTTTGTACACCAAGTGCGCTTAGGGTCCACAGAAGTTCTTCAATTAACATCCTTGATGGTTCAAGAGTGAAAATAGCAAAACAACTTTCAATTGACCCGAGTTTGTTAGAGGTTAGAGTGGATGAGGACGTCTTATTGAGAGACGATCATCGCCGGTATTTATGTAAGCAATTCCGCCCATCAAATGATACATCATTTAAGGTTAAAGAAATGAGACGAAAATCATTGGACAGTAATTCAAACACTACTGTTACAAATAAAAGAACTATGTATCATTCAGAAGTATCAACAACAGAAAATAGAGGGGATTCCGAAAATAAATGTTACAATTTTAGTAACAGACAATCATCAGTCAATTGGGGTACAGTGAAAGACAGAATTTTGAATGATTTTCCAAATTTAAATATTGCAATGAACAGAGAAAACAATTCCCTGAAACAACAGTCTGTCAAAAAATGCCCAGAAAAGAATGCAAAGTATGGTCAAACTGAAAAAGGAAAGCTTATTCCAAATTGGAGGATCCTTCAATCAAACAAAGGTAAATACATGTAACTGAAAAAGAGCCATGAGAATACACATTTTTGCTCCAATATTAGGCCAGGTAAAATTAATTTTGCTCCTAATTTGCTAAAAAATATTATTTTTTATTTTTTAAATTGTTAATTTATATATGTGTATCAACAAAACAATTACATTTTTTTTTCATTAAATGCAAATATGAATAGATTTAATTCTTTTCATATTCTTTTAAATATTTAAAGAAAATTTTTGCTTTAAAAATTAAATATTTATTGTTAATTAACAAGGGAAAATCAATAGGCAGTGGGAAAATCAAAATCTATATAAATAATAAAACTGAAAAATCTAGGCCTTCTCAAAGTCTGTCTACGATGTTGTAGAATGTTTATTTCAAAGCAAAGTCACACAGCTGGAGATCGTTATATATAACTTGACCAGGTGTCATTTTACTCGTCTATTTTTACTTAGTTACAATCTCTCTAAGTGATGGTATCCATATGTGTTTATGCTATTTTTTCTTCTCTGCCTTCTCTATACTGACAAATTATCTTTTCCTTACACATTTAAACTTCTTTTATTGCCGATTTTTCTCCATTCTTCACATGGCGTTTTTGCTATTAATAGCGACACGCGACTTTTAATACAGACGGGAGATAACTCTTAAACTTTGAACCAAATTCTTACTGAATAAAAATACATGAAAATTAAAAAACATCGGGGCGGGACATTTTGAGAGGGGCACATGATTCAGATTAATTTTATATGGCCTTATAAAAGTAATAATGTGAAATTACAAAAAGATGAAGGGGATGGGAAAATCAAAGGCAGTGGGAAAATCAGACAATATAAAAAACAAATTTCTATGTTTTGTAGAATGTATAAACATGGAATTTATTTTGATGGTGGGATAAAAATCTATTTTCATTCACATGATTCAATTTATACCTGTATATTTATCATCAAGTTTTGTTTTGACAGCAAGAAAGAATTTACTAAGTATCTTTTTTTTTTTCTTCAGAAGTTTGTGTTGGCCTCAAACGGAAATTGTCAAAGAAAAATTCCTCTGCAGTTGCTGAATCACGCAAGGGAGATGAGGATACCCTGACTCCACCCAAGCAGTTGAGGCTTGATCCACATCACCATGTAAAGGCAGGAATGAATGGCTGCTCAGAGCAAGTTCAGGAGTCTGATAACAAAAGCACTGAAGATAACAAAAAATCTGGTGCATCTTATGAAGATAGCCAAGAAAGAATCCCTAGTACTGTTTGTGATCTTATTGATCTGGGAGTAAGGAAACACAATAGAAATTCTAACCATACTAAAGTGGAGAAAAATATACTCCATGATACACCGCCAGTAAACAAATCAAAAGCAGGTCATATTCCAAAAGAACTGGAAAATTCGACAACTGGTACACATGTGTTGTTCAAAAAGGTTCAAGATGAAAGGTCAGCTGTGGTAGAAGATGGTGAAAAGAACTCAGGGTGTAATGACATGGACAGTTCAAAAGAAAATGCAGGTCCTCCGGGTATGAAAGTTAAAGACAAAATCGACAGTTTGGAAGAGAAAAAGGAACCATCTGATGGGCAAAAATCTCAGAGTTTTAGTATTTCTTGCAATAAGAAAAGCAGTTGTGAAGCGCCAGACCATTCTTTGCAAAAGACAAAAACTTCAGATGAAAGAAATGTGCATGCGTTTTCATCAAAGAATAAAACTTTATTTAAATCAGTGGATGTAGAAGAAGTTATATCTGATTTGATAAGCTTTTGTAAAAGACCCAACACCTCAACACAAGTTTCATCAAATGATGATGAACCCTCAAAGATCATGGCTCCCATTACTTCTGAAAGTAATGAGTGTATTTCATCAGATAATGAAATCAGTTCTGCTGATTCTAAAAACCATGAAGAAATAGCCAAAACAACTCAGGCAGAAGTCCAATCCAGAAAAAAATCAGCAACATCTGCCATCTCAAAAGTACTTACTTCTCAAAAGTATGTTTACAACGAAAGTGATCTTGACAATGCAGTAAAACGATTGAGCTCAGTTGTTAAAACTATTTCAAAACGAAAACTCATTGAATATGGTCCAGCAGATCCTAGTGAAGAGCAGACAAAAGAAAAGCATAAACATCTGAAAATGATACCAATAAAAGATCTGCTACAAAATCAGAACATGCATGTTTCTAAAAATTGACAGTTATTAACGGACATTGATCAACTTGGGTCTTCTGAGATTCTTAAAAATACTACCTTGTGTAGTAAAGAATAATTAGAACTAAAACAAACATTTTCTTTCCTAAAATTAGGTATTCTAAAACATTGCTCAAGTTTGTAACATCCAGTGAAGGTTACATGAACTTTGTAATGTAAAAAGACATGCAGAATTACAATATCTCTCATTCAATGGATATTTAAGTAGATATTTTGTAAAGGAGAATATGTTACTGTTAATTTAGAAATATGACATGTATAAAAAGAATAATAAAAGTGAAGTACTTAGTTTTGAAATCAGTTGCATTTAATACATTCCGTATGTTTTTATGAAAAATCTTACTTTTAATTTTACAGTACAATATCATTATTATAAAATGTGAAATATTTTTGTTTGGTTGTTGAGTTTTGTATTTACATATAGATGCATTTGTGTATCAGTGATATTACATTATGTTATTAATGGAATAAACAGAGATTTCATTTGAATAAACAAAGATTTTATTTTATGGTTCATTCTAAAGTACTATATAAGTATTTAAAAAAAAAAAAAGATATGTTTGAGAAAACAGATGCCTTCATATGTCCAAATCTCCAAATGAAGGTCAAGAAAATAAAAGCATTGTTACCCCGAAAAGGTCCTTTTACATGTACAATGAAGTGCATTGAAGTGGTAAAATTTTCCGTTCGAATGGAACGTTTTGAGCTATCTTTAGAACGTTTATTGTCATACTATGACACGCCCATTTCTTTAGAAATGGATAAAGCGGTCAATTTGTTTCTTCGAATACCTGTAGAACAGGTATTCCATAAATATAATAGCCAATGAAATTGACGGTCTACAATGAAGCGCATTGAAGTGGTAAAATTTTCTGCTTGGATGGAACGTTTTGAGCTAACTTTAGACACGCCAATTTCTTAAGAAAAGAAAAATCGGTCAAATGATTCAATCGAATACCTGTAGAACAGGTATTTCGTAAATATAATAGCCAATGAAATTGACGGTCTTCATAAACACCGAGTAAGCATGTGTTCGACGGATACATACTAGTATGTTATGCAAACTCCAAAAAAACATGATAAAATCGTAATTATGTACAAATTCGTTGCAATGCGTGTTTTACATAAGCGGGAGCTTTTTACATAGCTCTTTCTTATTCAAAAATCTTAATTTCAGTGTAACTCATGTTGCTTGTCGCGGAAAGTGTAGTGTCCTGAAACATTACGACGAATATTCCTTTCTCGTTTCTAAAGAAATGGGCGTGTCGTTATGTTATAATTGACGTTCAAAACATGACTCAGAACGTTTCGTCCAAATGGGAAATTTTACCACTTCCATGCGCTTCATTGTAAATAAATACCGAGTAAACACGTGTTCGACCGAAACATGCGTTGTGGTAACTTCAATAGACATGACAAGTCTCTTACTCTCTCTTCTAATTTTTTAAAGCTCCATTTCAGTGTAACTCATATAGCTTGTGTCCTAAAACATTACGACGAATATTTCTTTCTCGTTTCTAAAAATATGGGCGTGTCATTATATTGTAATTGACGTTCAAGACATGACTCAGAACGTTTCATCCAAACCACAGGTGCCTGAGGACAGGACCCCCCCCCCCCCCCAATATAGACCCCCAGGCCTATTAGACCTTTTTCACATAAATTATACATGGATGACACATTTGTGATATAATATATCCTATCAATTCAGAAAATTTGTTTAAACTTACATTTTATAAAAATATATACCCTCTCTATATATAGAGAATGTAGGGTAGATTTAATAGAACGTTTGTTTTAGGTAATTTTTCGATTTGCTGGTATAGATCTTATCACAAATATGTCAATGAAAGATTTTTTATGAGAAAAAAATCGATAAAGCCCAGGGGTCTATATCGAAGGGGGGGCCTGTCCTCAAGCACCTGTGATCCAAACGGAAAATTTTACCACTTCAATGCGCTTCATTGTATCTGAGATAAGCTTCAATTGTTTGCCGGTAAAACTCAGTTTATGTTAAATCGGCATAATAAAGGTCGCAAATACCAAATTAGATGATATAGATATTCCTTAATTAATGTAAGTCAAGAGTTTTCTGTCCAATGTTCTACTTTTAAACGAGGAATAGACCTGTGAGATATGGAATCACTAGTTCTAACCAGTGGTCTAACTGTTCAAAAATTATTACCACGGTTAAAGTTTTATTAAAAGTGGATCAAACTCTTAGGTCAAGGTAAAAGATACATGTATACCAGCTGAAAGGTCTAGATCTTGTAACACGAGAATAATGTTCTCGTAGTTCTTTTATTCTTGATTAGAATGAGTATTCAAAAATTATGATGATTATGATGACAGTGGTCCTAAAATAAACAATACACAATTGAAAATGATAGTCATAAAAAAATAAATGTAAACAAGTACAATATCACCTCTTGACATTTCAATATAAGGAAAAAGTAATGTTCACTTCATTAAGAAATATTTATGACAGTCAGACTTCTATTACACTTTATCATACAGCATATAATCTAAGCAAGAAATAAATATGCAGTATATATAATAAGTAATAAAAAATGTACACAGCTCACAAACCTAAGTAAGGAATACAGTATGGCCACTTCCGGTCACTGTGACGTCATCACACAAGGACTGTCCACTATAAATACAATCAGGTCTTACTATTCAATTCATACAAACTATACTTACATGTACTTGACAAGGAACCACTTTTATAATAAAAATGTTTTGCATTGAATAATCTTTTAAAATCATATATCATCAGGGCATCTATTATTTTTAACCTATAAACATACTTATAAACAAATGACTAGATGGTAACATCACGACATAATTTCTGACTAGTAATAAACAACTTTCAATCGGGAAATTACGCAGTTGCATATTTCACAAAATATAGAATAATTATTCACTTGTAACATAAGTACCTAGTCTAATATGAATGCAAGACAAAAATATCATTACTCACATATATCAGACAAAAAGGCGTTTAGTACAACACGGCTGACACACGTCTTCACTGGTCAACATCTACTGTGAAAATACCGCCAAAAGATGGCCTACTGTACATTCGGTAAATTGACCAATCAATGGACAGATTCACAAGTGTAAAAAATGAATTATAAAAATTACTTACAGCCAAATACTATCGTTATTTCAGTTATTCAAAAAGGATTTAAACATAAAAATAATTTTCCTTTTCATAATTTGTAAACTTTATAAAAAATTTCAATCTGAATCTTAAACCCGATGCAAAATATACTTCGCCCTCTTACACATTTCCCCCCTTTTGTCATTGCTTTCCACAGCAATGAAAAGGTTAAAAAAAAATAAAAATTTTCTATCACAACATTCAGATATATACACAATTAAACACAATCAAATGAAATAACATAATTACATCTGATTTGGTAACTACATAATCACATCTGATTTTGTCTTGCCCACGAATCACTTAAAGTAGCACTTAATGTAGCACCAAGATTCACAATCGCATCACTTAGTTCTTTAAAATTTGTTGGTTCAGCGGAAATCTGATTGCACGGTACGGTACTCTTAGGTAAGTTGAACGGGTTGGAATGTTTCCCTGCCGTCGTTCTCTTACTTCGTCGAGGTTGTGTCACTTCTACCGTCTCTTCTTCTGAATCTTCCCTGCTTGTTGAAGGAACACACGGTTTTTCTATCGCAGCTTCTTCCAAATTCTCAGCGGTTGCGGAATGTTCTTCCTCTTGAACTTGTACGGTCTGTTCTGGTATATACTCGAGGTCCGATTCTTCAGAACTGGAACATCCATCACTCGAATTCACTTTTTCAGCTGTGACTAAGATCTCTTTCCTTGTCACGTTCTTGATCGGGCCAGACCCATCTGCCAGCTGAATAGAATACACGTTATCACCAAGGTATTTCACAACTTTGTATGGAGTAGCACACCACGTATCCTGAATTTTGTTTCTTCCAAGAATGCGGTTCCTCGTAAGAACTCTTGTTCCAACTGGAATGACCGAAACACTGGCTTTCTTGTTCTTCTGTTGATTCCGCTGTTCTGCAGATTTTTCTGTATTTGATAATGCCAACTTTGATGCTTCCAACATCTTCTTCTTATGGTCTTGTATCCAATCATCCATAGGTAAGTTTTCAATGTCATCATCTGAAGATTTGTGTAATCCAAGCATCAAATCGATGGGAAGAATTGGTTCTCGTCCGAAAAACAAAAAATGTGGAGAGTAACCGGTCGATGAATGAACAGTGGCATTGTAGATATACACCAAGTATGGAAGATATTCAGGCCATTTCCTTTTCTTTTCTGGAGGTAATGTTCTCAGTCTGTCATGCATGGTCCTATTGAATCTTTCACATTGTCCATTCCCTTCCGGATGATAAGGCGTTGTCCGGGATTTTTCAATGTTGTAGTAACTACACAGTTCTTGAACAATGAAACTCTCAAAATTGCGTCCCTGGTCACTATGGATACGCTTAGGGATTCCAAAATTCACAAACCAGTTTTTAACTAGAATTTTTGCGACAGTATTTGCTTTCTGGTCTTTACACGGTACAGCTTGAGTAAATTTAGAGAAAATGTCTGTCATAATTAACACATTCTCACGTCCATCAGATGATTTTTCTAGCAGAGTAAAGTCAATGGCCAGAATTTCTTGAGGTTTGTACGCAATTAAATTACTCATTGTAGGCTTAATCGCTGGAATTGGAACTTTCCCTATTAAACACCTTTCACAAGATTTACACCATTTCTGGACATCTTGTAGCATCCTTGGCCAAAAACATCTTTTCTTCAGCAAAGAATAAGTTCGTTCAACACCTTGATGACCTGCATGGTTGTGAATATTTTCCAGAACGGTCTTCTTCAGAACTTCAGGAAGTAATAGCTGTCTCTGTTCACCAGTCTCATCTGTGATCTTCCTGTACAAAACACAATTTTCAATGAAAAGTTTATCTCTCTGATTAAGAAGTTTTCTCACATCTTTGTGCTCCTTTTTCAAGTCATCAACCGAAATTTTATGATTTTCCTCCATCCAATATCTGATTCTGCTTAACTTCGGGTCATGATCTTGAAGTGCTGCTATGTCTGCAGGAATATACTCAGGAAGCGTTGTCATGGTGCTCAATGTCCGCATCTCAAAGTCTGTAGTCTCTGAATTCAACTGAGTCAGTAGACGGCTATCTAACATCTCTAATGATGTACTCTGAGTGATCCTATCTAAGGAAACTTTCACTTCTTCTTCCAGTGAAGTAGGTCTACGGCTTAACGCATCCGCGTTGCGATTCACCTTACCAGAGCGGTATTTCACTGTAAAATCAAACTGAGCTAGCTCTCCTATCCATCTCATCGTTGTTGCGTCTACTCGTTGCTTTGCTTTGTTGATGTAACTAAGCGGGTTATTGTCAGTGTAAATGATAAACTTCGATCCAAGGAGGTAATCACGAAATTTTTCACTAAC